GAGATTACAGAAATCTTAATTTTGAATGACCTCCGGGGGGGGGGGGTAACGTGTACAATAACGAAACCAATGTGTGCCAAAAGGTCGACCCAAAACGGTTTGCTCGTCTTTGGCGGATGAACCTATGCAAAAACTAGCTGATTGCCACGGTGGTCGTATTCGCGCACATGCCAGGCATCACAACTGACTACCACATCTTACGATGGCACACACGTCATTTGGAAGATCATTCATTAGTCGACTAAGATGGCCTCTCTATGACCTCCAGAGGCAAATCATGGTCTCAGGAAATGACCTGATCATGCTTTAATCTCGCATTTGGCGCTATCTTGAAAAATAGCTCGTGATTTGACGATGCAGCGTGTCCGAACGACGGCATTTCCATCAAGATCAGTAAAAACGGATGGAGACCAAGGTCTTATGGTGGCTCATGCTGATTCACGTCCACTAACCCGGTCGCGTCGGACTCTCCGCCACAGTCGCCTCCTTTTCACGGCGTCTCTGTCGATCATGCGAAATCGTCTGTTCATACATCGTCCAAGCAGCCCGTTTTATTCATCTGGCCATTCGGCTAATTTAACTTTGACAGGTTCACGCAGACTGTATTGGACACCAAACTCAATCAGCCAGACACGACCTGAACAATGACACGACCATGCTGAGCTATCTGGTAAACGGTTAAGGCCGCCATCTCGGGGCATTTTTTTAAAATTTTCGCGGGTATCAGTGTAGGGCAGTCGGGTCCCCTCAAAGAAGCGACCTCGGCGTGGTTCAAATCCACATGGCAGGGCATACACAAAATTAGCCAAATTCGCAAGTGTACAATTGGTATCAGGTCTGTTCTGTATTCCAGCGTCGTCTGCCGAAAACCAGACCGCACTTAAGAATTAGCTGTGGCAGTAAACATGGCGGAAACAAATTGGTCCACAAGGCGAACTCACTTTCAACATACTGAGAGAGAGGCAAGACGAGTGCGAGGACAAGACGCCCGGTTTTCGGTCGAAGAACCGCTCGAATTCTCCGCAGCAAGGTGAGAGGAGCAGCACAGCGGTCCAGAAGATTCAGACAAGCCACAACGTCGTATTGCGGAGGAGCAGGGCTTACGCTAGGGGGCTGAGTTGGGTCGGCAGAAGTGACCTGCAGGGCACCGGGTTTGTCCCAATCGTCAACCCCAAGCACTCTATAAGGCATCAAAGATTGAAGAAAATATAAGGTGGGAAAAAGACGTAATAGGGCATTGTACTACCTGAAGCATAATGGTCAAATGGTTGGCGACGCGCCTTATGACTCTTCGTCACCTTTTGAAATGGTCAGCACGTACCACTGAATCCATACGATATCGATCGGTCAGATGTTTAATTAATAAATCGAACTGTCAAAACCATTATAAGGGTCAAAGATACGCTTAAAAGGTGGGACTTATGGAGTACTTTAGCAGTAGCAAAAAGACAGCTCAGATCAATGTCGACTTTTGGACTATGAAAGTAGCTATAATTGACGCGATTTCTAGCAATTGAAGAGACCAGCCGATGGTATTACCAGTTAGTATTTTGTCTAGAAGGGGCACACTGAACTTAACACTGCCAGAATAGTCACAGAGCATCCGGCAGCCCCGTTTTCGAAACGCGAAACAAACCTACGAGGGAAGAGGGACTTACGTGAAGTTTGCCTGACGAAGTCGCCACCTCATGACAGGAGAAATTTCCGTCGTGTAAACCTGGTCGAAAATCGGAGCCATTCGCATAGTGACCCGCCCGTCTCCCGCGCCTAACAGACAACCAACAGTGAAGCAGTAGTGCAGGCAAAAAGGCGACTCGAGAGAAAGCCGTGAGGTTGTGTGTCATTTGAACGATTTTTTGTGGGTATATATTGAACTTGCACTTGATCCTTATAGGAATGGAGAAGAAACAATGTTGGTGGCTGTCTTGAGACGAAGGTGAGAATAACCCACAAGCTTATTATTTCCACTTTACAGTAATGCTTCTTGGTGAATACACGGTTTCAACTCAAGGAATGCATGCTGTCACCACAATTCTTTTTCTACATGAAATTCCGACCTAGCACAGTCGTTTATTTAATGAAACTAGACGTTAGAAAAAATTAAAAATTTTATCCAGTAATTCAAGTCAAAATAATGCGTTGAAAAGAAATGAGTCAAAATATTCCCCACGGTTCACATACGGCTTTGTCATCTTTCTGAACCACTGTTAAACCACTTAACCTTGATTCGGCGTGCGCACCACCCGACTCGAGTTGAACATCGATGTCAGCATACAATAAGCACACAAGAAGAAAAAATACGACCCACGACAACCGTGTTAACGGGCAGACAAACGATTTGGCCCCTAGCGGCTTTTGTCTTCTTATTCTTTTCGTGTTACTTCGGGCCGCAGCAGCCGCGATAAACGGTCTGTCTCACTTACGGTTGAATGAGCAAGTTCTTGAATCCCCAAACACAATACTACGTCAGTTAATATTCAGAAATGATAAACTAACTATGGCAATAAACTGATGGGGCAGATAGTGAATTGACGTGAACTTATTAATAGCAAAGATAAATAATTATGTTGGCTGTTTGAATAAGTAATAGTGTGTTAATATCGCAAAGTAGCTGCGACTATCACCGCCTAATTAAGAGACACGCAAATGTTTACAGAATTTCTGCAAAATACTAAAACGCTTTTAAAAAATCAACTGCTGGTAAATCCGTCAAGGAAAGCGCGAAAGTACTTGAGAAGCAAGTCAAATTTGGGTATGAGAAATAAAAAAATTAATACGGTTGGTCAGGATGCTAACGTTACCACAGGGCATAATCAATGAGAATATATATATAAACACGCACCTAAATCTAATAGCTTTTCTCCCTTCCAAGAATCATCCACATCAAGTAACTTTCGGAAGAGGACACTTGAGAAAACAAACATTGATCCACGGTTTAGCAGCCTTCAAAAGAAGAAATAAGAATGAAATTATCGTGGTTTCAATGACAGTCATTCAAGCATATATATACCATTGGTTGATGTTCGCCGCGACTGTTCATAGATCCGAAAAACTAAGAGAAATCTTCATGAATTCACTTGACTTTGATAAAAGCAGTTTTGATAAACCAAGACACAAGCAAAAAATGAAAGCATGATTTGTTTTTGCACACGTATCCTCAATCATCAAATGGAACACAAATTTACAAACTCATAACAAAAGTTCAAATACAAATCTTGATTTTCAGTACCGACGCAACCTTCATTGGATATTGAGATTTTGTTCTACTTACTTGTAAGATCAAATAATGACTTGGGTTTAGTTATTTAAAGGAGGGGTGACAGGCACGCACTACAGCAATCTTAGGCCGGAGTTTTACCTCTTCACTAAGTACAAAAAATCACTAGAATGTAGAAGGAATAAAATGTAAAAATAATAAATTCACACCCATTAGATGAAGTCACTGTCATAAACCAAGTTAGTATAGACTTGGAGACTGCATGGTACAATTGCGTAAAAAACCAGTCGGACTTTTCGAAGCATGATTGGAGAAACTCGCCAGTTTCTTCATCTTGCTCAGCTTGGTGAAAACGACTCATGGCATAGTTTGAAAGTAATTCAGAACGAACAGTGTACCACTAAAAATCAAAAGACATGATCGGAGAATTACATGTTCGTGTTTGGAATCGAGGTGTTCTTGAGTGTGTTCGAATTTCTCATACAGCAACCGAGCGATTGGGCTGTGTAATCTGATTGCCATTCCACTGAAAGACGCCTGAAAGTGTATTACATCAAAGCACTTTTACCAAAACAATTGCAAATACAAATAGATTGTTATTTCGCCTGGCAACCCCAGAAGTGGACATGTAGGTTAAAATGACTTATTTATGTGTACCGCAAACTTTGCTGCAAAGGTAAGAAGCAAATGAGAAGGTTACGTAATTCAATCATTCCGTTTACGGACACTTACCCGTGTTCTCTAAATTAGAAGAGACACGCCTATTGCTTAGTAAAATATTTCAAATTTCGAGACTTAATTTTTGAAATTGGAGTTAGTTGAAAGCCTCATGAGCATATTTTCCACGAGAATCAATCTCAGTAAGTTCCAATTGCGTTCACAATTTGCCAACTATGTTCCAAATAGAAATCGATCTTTTAATAAGGCAGTCGCTATTCCTCTCATTTACGATCTTTCAAATTCAGTAAATATGAAAATTAATGTTTAAGATAATTTATGAATAAAAAATGTCATTCACATATATTTCACAGAATGCTGTGTTGTGAAACATTTTGTCCACAGAATAATGACTCACTGAGATGAAAAGAATTTTGGAACTTTTAATGTAGAGAGGAGCAGATGTTTGGTAAACCATTGTTTAGAAGGCGTCATTTTACCAGAAAAATATAACTCCTCTACAACGCCTGCGAAAAATGCTATTAATTCTGACAAAATACAGCTAAAAAACTATTTGTCTGCAAAGTGATTCAGAATAGAGGGTGCGTACATTGGCTGGGCTAATACAATTTTTTGGCAAACGGATACATAAGCTTACTTTTTCGAGTCACGAAAATCCGACAACCAACCTCACAAACCTTGTCAATATTTTAACAAGACAATTAATAATTTTGAGAAACACGATAAAAAGCAATTTTTTGATGACTGCAATTAAAATTTAATAGCACAAATTGGTATATTGGAGTTGTAAAAGTTAAACAAAGGGCAATTCATTACATCAATACCTAGAAAAAAGTTATGAAGGTCTTATGAGTAAAGATATTGTAGTCATTCACGCAATCTTTTATTTAGAAAAAGAAATATTTATAGATGTTCAGTCTGTGGCAAATTAGTATTGTAGATGGAAATTTTAGATTTTGACATATCAACAGTTAAGCAGGAATTACATGACCGTTCTGAGATTAATTATGAATTTGCCGGTATCATTGGCAACTTGTTGAAGATACAATACTTTTTGAAATGAAAGGCCGCCTTTGAGATGGGTTTTATTGTTTTAGTCTGTTATTAAATATTGTGCGAACACCAAGGAAGAGTTGGTGTGTGTAAATCGGTAAGCCTTTAATTCTGGTGCGATGCTTAGCAGTGTACTTAATTTTAGTGATCCATGTCACCTATTGCAATATCTATCAATTAATTTTTGGTATACGTTTGTGACGTTAGGACCCTACTTTTCTTTTTCTGTAAATTATCTTAGAAAATACGTTGAAATCAGAGAACTCAGCTATTTGCCAAGCTAAGATTTATGAATCTGCCCATCTAGTCTTAAAGTTTAGTATGCAGTTGAGATATTCATGTAAGCCTTGTATTATCTTTTGATCGCACTGGTCTTTTTTGCATTCATGACTGTCTATGTAGGAGTGGCCCAATTAAATCAATCATGCTCCGTAGATAGCCCAGCGGTCATTATTATTTGGCCATTATTTGTTTACATGATTTGTGTACCTTCAAATTTTGTAAAGTATTTGACCCTTCGATCAATGTAGTTCATAAACATTTGACATCTACCATTTTAATTTTTGTCCTATTTGATCTGCATATAATTTAAATTAAACGACTACCAAGTACCATAGTTGAGATGTCGTTTGTTTTGTCTATTTTCTGTTTCTTACTATCAATTAGCCGCTGAAACTGTGTGCTGTGATTTTTTCATGTTAATGGTTTTTAACAACTTTTTCATTAGGACATGAAATTGACAACTGTTCTGTTCAACCACTTCATTCCATTTAAACGTGTGCCGGGATCGTTATGGGGCGGTAAACAGCGAAAAATCCCTCGCTTAACCGGTTCCCGAAAGGCCGCGTTTATGGATGAACTGCTTCTAACTCAGCAAAACGAACGTTATCTCTCGAACCCCTATATTAGTCCGGAAGCCGAAGCCACTACACTGGCCGCTGAGCAGGTGCGCAAGAGCATTTAAATCTCAAAAACGTCGTCTTTGTAGATTCATCCAAATTAATTTGAGATTGACTTCGATTGTTTTAGCGATATGACTTTCATGCGCTCCATAGTGACCAAGCACATTGGTCTGCTTCAGGAACTTGGTGTCTCACATTTTTGTGTTTATTTAAGTAACCGAAATGGCTTCTAATTTCTTGTGTTTCTTGCGTTTCAATAAAACCTCTTCATGTAATCAGTATTTGGGGTAACTTCAAAAGTTGCAGGTTTGATGTCCCCTACACACCTATTCTGCTGACCGATTTTAAGTTCTAAATACATAGTGGTTTACACGTGTGCTACAGGGAAACCTGATTCTGAATCTTGAAAACGATGTAATTCTGTCAAAATTAACAGCAGCTACAAGTATTTCCTGGTTGTACATAGTTTATACTCACTTAATATCTAGAAAGCTGTCAATTTATCTAAAAAGGTGCTACCGAGTGTTGTATTTTAAGGAACAACTTGCAGAAACGCTTCGCAAATTTAGCGCTTCGTCCGCCAGATCGAACAAACTCATTTGCCTTACTGGGTTTGCCATTTCTCCTTTAGGAACGTGAATTAGCTGCCGAAGACCAAGTCTTTTACAACATATATGAGGACAAATTCCGCCGGCGTTTCCCCAACCGGAGATTAGAAGATTTTTGGTCACATTTAAATGTTTCGCGAAAGTACGATGTTTGACGCGGTTCGTTCTTACTTCGTCTTGTAAATACAGTGTAGCTCTTTGTTAAAGTCCTTTTTGTTTTTTATCACGCCAACCGAAGATTGAGTACTATGTTAGGACTTGTGACTACCAATGGATCAAATTAGTCGGCTAAATTTTAAATGTACTTTCCGGGGACACGTGAATGAGCCGTGCAGATCACGCTATAAACGTCCACTATTGTGAGCCAACCTACGTGGTAGTAGCGTTTTGTTGTCCCGAATCTTGCTGTTTGTTTTGAATCCACCTCCTTAACTGTAACTACATGAACAGATACCCGGTTCCCGCATGCTCAAGCTGTGTTTGAAATTATTAGAAGTGTTTCATTTTTTCTAACAACTTGTGAATCTGCAGTTTTGAGCACAGTCCACTCCTATGACCAAAAGTTTTGTTTGAGAGAATGCTTGCAATACGATGCAAAGAAGGATTCCTGAACGCTCGGCAGGAAATGAAATTGAGTGAATTCACTTTTGGTGGAATATAATTTATGGTTATATACTCGTTCCCATAGCCGGTTGCATGCTCCGCCATGGGGTACGACCAGAAATAAACAAGTTTATAAACAGACTAGCCTTGCTATTAATCACTTTCTGTCCATAAGTGATGGCACTTAACGCCAAGTATTGCCCCGACAGAGCACAATCGCAGAACCCTTAACGATGGCACACAAACATGCTAGAATGAACCCCAAGTTATGCTGATGAGCGAATCAATTCATACCACACAATGGGCGAAATTCGAAACAACACCAGTTCCCGACAGATGTCACATGAGACTTTCAAAGAGGTTTAAGCGAAAAAATTGTAATACCCCTACGGCTCATACAAACGGAAGCGATCACTTTAAAGGCCATACATACAAAGTTACAACAACGAGTCACCACAAAGAAAAAACGCGAGCAAGACAAGACAGACGACATCTGTCGGCTAAAACTGAGGAAGATGGAGACAATCTGATTACAGGCGCACATGGACTCGATGACCGATAGACGAGTGGAATGTTTGTCGGGAGAGGAGGGAGGTCGAGTCAGCGGGTCATGCTCTGCATAGCGCCTTTTGCAGCACCAGCCATCACTCGGTCCGTCACGGGATCGGGGACGTAGGGCGGCGGCGGCGGATAGGCGTTGTTCGAGGGGTAGGGCTGCGAGGTTGCGTCGGGGTGCGCTCCATCACCCTGTGACTGCGATCGTCTAAAAGGGAACGAGGCAGTTCAATCTAAACCGGGGCATTAATACGGACCAACGAAGTGACCGCAGAACTGCATACTCCACGGGGCTGCGTGAACTGAATCCAGAAACTTCGAGCATGCTTGATTGAAGTGATAAATTTCACTAACCTGATCTACTTAATTTCAAGGCCATGAGGTTTTGAGACATGAATATGTGGAACAATAACCAGGAATGATCAATCACAGATTTGGTATCAGTTAAATAACCGAAAAGGGGGTGATATTACACCGCCTGTCTTCACTCAAACCAGTGAGAGCTTGGGGCTCAAATAAAGTCGGGACTTGTAATTTTGACGGAACAGTAGATTTCATCAGACCAAGGGAAGCGAAATTTCATTTCGATTTTACTACTTAAAATATTGTGTTATCTGTCAACGGCAGCATCAAAAAGAGAACGAAAAAAAAACATGGAAAGCAACAACTGTCAACGAAGACAAGCAAAAAAAGCATGTAACACAAAACAATAACAACTTAAAACACCGTTAAGAAGTGCACAAGGTAAGTTTATTCAATTGCAGTCTTGGCTGTACATAGAGCCTTGCCAACAATTAATTGGTTTAACTGAGCTCAAAATAACACAGACGAGTAAAATCACATAACTGATGGCGATGACATTCAGTATAAGAGTTAAGCCTGCAGGTGTGCGTGGTGACTCAAGTGCAAGGAGGAGACTCAAAGTTCAAGAGGAGAAGTGGCCTCACTAACGGAACGTACACACCCCTCTCGACATGACGACACCTCACAGATCATAATTGCTACGAATACGAAAAGGTACCATTAGGACTTATGGGCAGCAAAAGTGCTCAACCAACTGCGTGACATTTAGCACGCCCCACACCACAGGGCCACGACTGCAAGCAACCGCAAGCTGCGAAACAAAGCGCGACCACTTGGAAGTGACGCAGCAGCTAAGCTTTACAGCACTTCAAAGGCAGCCGAACGCACAGCGATGGTCATCGCCACGATTGCTGGTGGGTTCGTCGGCAATGTCATGGGTTCGTGTAGTTGGGTTGGAAGAATCTAGCGAATCAAGGTTGGGAGAAGATTGCTTTCGTTTGATAAATTGGTGCAGCTTGATACCTTACCTTCCTAAAATTCGACTTACTTCAACGAGAAGAACTCCCAGATCCGTAGAGCAGCGGACGCAATGAGGAAGATGAAAGCGAAACCCATTGAGACGCTGGGACACATTGCCAGTGCGATAATGCCAAGACTTTAAGCGAATTGAAAGAGAAGGTTTAGGCAAATAATGAGTTAACAAACTGATTGGAAATAGTTATTAGGGATTAACAAACGCGAATTGCGAAACGAATTAAACATAACAACGAACTTGTTCGGTGGGACCTACAAAAATAGAATTGAAAATGACCTAAAATAAATGCTATGCACTACAAGATATAAAAAGGAGGCGGAACTGTATTTGAGAACAAAACGACGAAGTCGCACATTTGCTGGAAAGTTCCAAGTGTCGGACCTAGTGATAAGTGGCGTAATTGTCAAACCCACAAACGTAGGTGGTGCATGTGAAACCACCAGACTAGGCACTTTGCTGATGGCTTCCTTGCCAATCGACGAATACAGGGGTTTTAAAGCAAGTCCGAAATTTTGTGAGAAAGCATTCCATGGTAGTTACATACAATCTGCACTAAAATGTGTAGAAATCTATCATATTCACAATTAAACACGTAGCGAATGACGTAAAACCTTGTGTGCTGCCCGAATATCAGGTTGAGAAGCACGTACATTTACTAGTTATGCCATTGGACGGGTGAATGTGCTTGGATCAGTGTTTGCAACCTACAGTAGCGAAAGGTCAAGTCCCTCGGCTTGTGATTGGGTGATTTTTATGATAGTTGTCTCAAGACCACGAATTTGGATGAAGTCTCCAATGGACAGGTACAAACGGAATGAACCCGAACCATTTAATGCAAGTTGCATATTATGTGGTTCGCATAACACGTTAAAGACATTACTCGAGTGAGTCGTAAAAAGAATTCGGGTGAACGATTACCGACCTAATACAAAATGAAATGAAGATAGACTATTGTTTAGTAGCCTACCGGCTGTGGAAATAATTTCAACTAAAAAACAGTTTATATTAAAGATTTTTAGGCGGCATATATAGAATAAACAAGACCGCGAAACGTACGCTCCACAGATAATGCCAATTGGAAGGGGACCCATTTTATCAACGCCGCGGGAGATATATTCTGTTTGTGGGATAAATGCGCAACAAAAAGGCATTTCAATGATAAGTATAAAGATCCCGGTGAGGCTGAAAGCAAAAAATAAATTAACGTATGCACACATTAAATTGATCTAAAAGCATTTTCATGTTAAGGTACGTGAAGACAATTATGAAAATATTCGAGATTAAACCAGAAGAGTAATTAACGACAATAAGGAGTACGCTAGACTAGTGTGGTGTCGGGCTTCGAAACAAATTTAGCAGACAACATTTGTCAAACTCGTTTACAATTATTTTGATAAGAAAAAATGCGCGAGATACACGCACTAATGTAATACAGTTAGACATGCACAAAGGTAGAAAATTACCAGGAAAAAAACAGTCTTTTTGCTCAGAAATTGAAACAGACTCACACAAGAAAAACTCCAGCGAAAACGCATATGACTGAAAATCCAATGGCTCCGACGATTCCAAGGATGCAACACACTAAGAAAACTGTCAAATTAAAAGTAGCACATACTTATTCCTGTAAAAATATATAGGGATCGTGCACCAAACCTAGCAAGACAAGAACGCCATGACTGACCCTCAGAAGCCATCGTTTGCTCAAGAAGTTAGACAAGACCACAGGGTTTACCAAGTTAATATTGCGCCTTCGCAAACGCAGTCATTAAAACAAATAGTGTTTTTTTTTCAATTTACGGTACTAAAAACGTTATTAAAGGCATGTTCCTTAATATCTGTAAAGAAAAGGAAAGAAAAAGCAGCTTGTTCATTAAGTTGGTTTTAGAACCTTATAAATCTGGCAAAATTTTATGTGAAGGCGTAGTTTGTAAACCAATTTATTTCTGTCCAGTAATGTTATTTAGCCATTCTTGCATTATTTTTAACAAAAAATGCGGTGCCGACATGGTGAGTTGGAGTCTTGACATTTAAATTTACAATTAAATCTACGTAAAATGAAATTTGTCTAGTCAATATTCATGGGCACACGTAATTCAGCACTTTCCTTCCTTATCACCATTGGCACCAACGTAATTACATGGTTTACCTTTGCAATTAAGTACATATGGTAGCACCTCTTAGAAATTACATTTAACTGATAAAAAATATTGTTTAATACTTATTTTGTTTTGTTACAATATTTGCCTTTTCATTAAAACTACTTTCTTTAAGAATCCGCCTTGAAATTTATTTTTTCGTAAGCATGTGCCTATAAATCCTGATAAAATAACACTTTTATTATAAAATGATTCCCAAAATTACACAAAATTTCGACAACCTGACTTAGGATCATGTCGTGCCAATTCACCAAATAGGTTAGTTTAATTATGGGCAGTTCCATATAGTGTAAACTAGCTGTTTGATTTTAGCTCTTAGTAAATTTATTATTCATTTTCGCAAACTCCAGTTATTTAGATGCTGATTTCCAACAGACTAACTAACTGCCAACAGACACACAATTTGGAGGAATTTTGTACTCACTGACAAATTCGAACTTTATTAATCCAGCGCACAGACGTGCTTTCAAAGGCATTAATCAAGTAAGCTAAATGGCACATTTCATTTCCAGAATACAACAGTAGGAATTAGTGTTATGTAAATTTTCAATGGAGTAGTTCAGAGATGAGTTTAGTTAATAGACTAGGGTACATCCTGAGAGCTGTTTCCATATTTTGGTTCAATTAGGCTCCTCCTATGTTGCCATTTATATCGAATAAATGTAACCATGCGCGTCAAAGGCTCAAATTTAAATTGTGACTCAAAGAAATTGTGATAAGTGGAAAGGTTTTCCGGTATTTTATTTCCATATTCTTTTCAGAAAAAAGGAGATCAGCTTTTGCCACCACGTTCACGCATTTCTTCCACATTATTTCTACTGCTCTATTTTTCTTATTGTTTAAACATTTATAATAATGTTTTGTTTGCACCACTTTTTCCGGAGCACAAATTTTTATTCAACTTTTATTCTTATACCTTCCCCATAAACAAAAAGCTTAAACCTGGAAACAGCTATGTGTTCGATGCATTCCAAACTAAATCTTTTATTTAATACTATTATCCCGATTATGCCATAGACTAATTAGTACTAGTTTGACTATGATGCAGGTTTTTTGAATTAAGTGGGTTAGATTTAACCTAAAACTAAAGCCCACGGGGTGATCCAGACTGAAACAATTATAAGAAATCTGTTACTTCCATTAACTTGACTGTTCAGTCGATAAACGGTAGAAGACCTATATCATAATAAGTCGTAACAGAGTTGCAGAAATGATTACTCATATATTCAATACACTGTGTGTTTGCGGTTGGTGGGGAAAGTAGAGAATTTAAGGCATTTAAGAGGCGTAATATGCCACACACATTGCAAAATGTCCCCCTTCTCAAAAGCATGATAACAACACTGATGTTTTTTCAAAAAATCCAAACTGATTTTATGCATCTGGTAGATTCCTTGGAAGTTATATTTGATCCAATGTAGACAATTTCGATCCAAGTGTTTTAATTGTAGTATAAGGCGCAATTAATGCCCGCATCTCCGGAAATAACAAAAATTGCGTTTCTTTCATGCCAAACTTGGAAAACAGCATTTAGACCAGTGACAATCTTTGAACAGATAACCACCTGGGCACTGTAGAGTCATTCCCCCTAACTGATCAAAAGTGATTTAAGGTGAATGAATGCTGGAATCCTACCACATTAGTAAATGTGCTAACGAGACATGCTGCATGGCATCTGTGGCGATGCAAAATCTCATCTGGTACAAAGCCATCTGTTTATTTATTCTTGTCTGTATCCAAAAGCCCGCACAGACCTGGTTTACCATCCACCTCGTGCGTGCACCTCTCGCTGACCCCCGTTGACCCTCGGTGTTTACACACCCAGCTCGTGTTTGTGTGAGTGCACGGACGTCGCGAGACCAACCGCGCCCAGCCAACAATGCAAGTTACTACCCATCTCCTCGTGTTCTTGTCCCCAACCTCTGGGCTTCAACGAGTAGTCCTGAGCTCAGTAAAAGCGGCGTCTCAGAAATGGTTTAATGGAGATATGTGAATGTTCCTTAATAAATCGAAAATTCACACATCCTCTGACGACAAGTTACCAATAAGCGCTGTTTGAATCTCTAATACAACGTCGGCACCTTAGCCTCTACCCACTGGGACCAGAATACAGATGTACCTTGGCGAAAACCTGCGGGGTTAATACCCTCGACCACATTCGACAAAGGTGACACCTTACTCGCCGCAGACAACGGTGTCTCAACCCTCCAGCAATGTAATAACAAACTCAAACACACACCGTTTATGATGTATATGATCAAAACATCTTAATTTAGAATATATCTGAAAAAGGAAAGAGTGCAACCACCAAAGGACACATACGTACACCCACACGCACAGACAGACAAGCGAGACCACCAACTACACCGACTGAAGGTCTTCAATAGAGCGTTTCAACGAAGTCACGGGGATAGATATAATCATGAGGGAGAGTAGCGGTACCCTCACCAAAAACAACTCTGCTGGAATACTCTGGAAGGAAGGAAAGGAGGACGGGACTTTCACCGATTTGGTTTTTCCATGGTGTTACCGGCGGCCGCCTTTGACACTCGGGTCGCCACCTCCGACAGCTGCGATGCTCGCATTCATGCTGGGGGGAGGGGGGCGAGTAAACCAGAAAAAGTACACCCTAACACGAGGACAAAGCTGAAAATTAAAAAATATACCAGAGGTCGGTTGGTATGCGTGTGTGTGTGCACACGGACACACCTCACACCCATGTACACAGATCAGTAATAGAAAGTTTGGACGCGGCAAAATCACATAGCGGAGACAAAGGACAGGAGACTGAGGTACACTCTGGGTGCGCGCGAGCGAGGATACGGCACCGCTGCGAGCCAAATTTGCCAGTGACGCGGAGGAGGAGGTACATGAGAATGCCACCCGCATCCGTCGTCGTCGTTGGCACGATTTGGCCTAACGTGTTTGTGTTTTACAAAAATAGGGCTGGACGCGCAGCGCGAGCACAACGTGGTTGGATGGGGGGGGGAGGGGGAGGGTAAAGAGGTGGAGGTCAACTACCAAACATACACGTACAACAGTACGGCGAGGGCACGTATGTGGGGGTACAGAGGAAAGCACGGGTGGAGGGACGATTGTGCGCGGTTTTGAGACAAGACACGGGACGAGTAAACAGAGGGCACCAGGAAATGAAGCTGACGAGTACATACACGCAGTCACGGTTGATGGTGTTGACGTCCACGCGTTGCGTAGAGGGCAGCGCGAGCCGACGAACTGCTGTCCTCCAGAGCACCGCCACCGGGCCACCTGACTGCTGGCGATTCGTCGGAGAATTTGAGGAGAAATTGGTTCGCAAACCAAGCACAAAGGAGTGTGAAGAGAACAAAGCCGACAACGAGTAAACAGGCCATTCGTCGCTGAGCACGATCCCGCGAAGAAGTCGCTGGGCGGATGATGAGGCGTCGGAAGGCCGCAGATGCTCGGGCGCGGTGGACCCACGCGGTGAGGGTCGCCAGGTGACTTGTTAGATTTGGACGTCGAAAATGCAGTGTCGGTAGTGGGAAAGTCGACTGCTCTCTGGTGAAGGGTGTTCGACACCAAAGCGAGTTGATGAGCTGACCAACCGGTGTCTGCTTTTGGGCAAGAGTTGTGAACGCTGTTCCGACAGAGAATGGACCGTGGAGGAGTGTTATCTTTGGTGAACAAGAAGTCGAAGCGTGCGTTGGAAGTGTTAGCTGAGAAAGAGAGAAAAAGCAGATCAAGAAATACGTGCGAGATCGACTAAAATACAGGATCGGTTACGTTCGTACTCATTAATTGGGCAAATTCGGGGCTCCCGTTTATTAATGGTCTTCGTACAGTATGGATCAAAGTTGATTAGGCAAAGTGGTCCGAAAATTACCAACGCGCATTTGGCAAATTACCTTCAGCGTCGACATTAATTTATGCAAAATTTCTAGCCCACATCGCGAAACCCCACGGCAGACAGCTGCAGGAAAATATGAAGTTCTTTAATGCAGCAAGAAACACCCCAGGAAGCGAGAAAGTAGAGCTGAATAAAAATGCTTGCTGAAGAAAGTCAGGTGGGGCAGCAAATGGTGAGAGGCACATAAAACCTTCAGAAGCTCAATTAAAATAAACAATGGAATCAGATAATGCAATATTTGGAGGCGCCGAAGATGACGCCATTCGAAAAAGGAGCAAGCTCAAAGGAAATCGGCCAGTTTGAGAATTTGTGACTTCACCAGAATGCGAAACAGGAATAATCCTGCAAATGTAGTCAGTTTTTTTTAAAAAAAATAACGTTGGGAGTTTATTCGTTCTATTCAGGCAAAAGATAAATCAGAAGATTCCTGTGCTATGGGTAGATGACGGTTACCAAGAGGCTATGTAAATTTGAGCATTGTGATAGTTTAGCAGTTTGGACAGTCGTTAGGCATTTTAGGCTGCGCCTTTGATGGTGCAAAATATGTGGAAATGTGTAAGCGCGTTCTCCCCACAACAGGCACACAACTGCACACTTCGCGATAATGCCACTGCACATAAACCACAATACGCAAGGCAGTGATTAACCAGACGCCGAATCGAGGTAGCCTGGAAGCTGTGAGGGGTGGGAATCTCGGTTCTACACACATCCCATCGAATCCCCCACCCCACCCTCCCACGCCAATGCAAGTGCAAGTGTTTTTGCGATTACGCACCACTTGCCGCTCACCGAAGACCTTAGTTAAGTGCTCTCATGCGTGATTTGTTGCGGAATTAACACGTCCAATTCCAGAACGATCAAAACAAGGAAGGACTTTACTAATCTCCTTCTACTCGGTCCTCAGACTTGTAAATTACCTAGAAATCAGCCGTTTGAGCTGTGGGATATGCTACCGAAAATCGGCAGTTTTTTTCGAGGACATCCGATGAGAGAGACTGGGTCTTTGTCCAATTTTCGAATCGAGCTTACCGATATCGACAAACTGGGGTGCCATTTAGTTGTGCCAATCCCCCTTAGTTAAACACAATGATCATACTCAGGGTCAGGTCGAATTCCGATTCAGTGGTCCTAGCACCTGATTCCGGACCCGCTGATAATGGCGGAGGGTCAGTTCTAGAACAATAGTGACTCATCTTACACGAATGTGACCGTGCTTAGGAGTTCTCTGTGTTTAATTGTTGAAGGCCGCTTATTACTGCGAGTCCGTACACCGAGGATGGACTGACTTTCGCTAAGGCAGTGTCATTGATGTTGGAACGCCTTTACATTGTGCGGCAGAAGCAAAAATAAAGAAAGAGACAGTGAAAAGGGGGAAGCCCACCTGTGAGGCATCGGCGTCTTGGTCGATGTCTCTGTTGTTGCACTGCAAAGTCGTCTTGGGCGGAGTGAGAGACTGGTCATCGACAGTTTCCTTTTGACAACAGCGGATCGCGCAAACTCGGGCTATGTAATTCCGTCCCGGGCTGAGGTTGGTGATGGTGCACGAGGTTTCGGCGCCACGGTACACCGTCACGGCATCTTCCTCGGACTCAATGGACGCCGACACGGCGCTGGGCACTTGAGTTAGATGGACCAGATAGATGAGAGGATCCTGGCCAATGCTGTTCAACGCCGGCCATTGAAGCTTGCACGCGGTACAATCGACCTCAACCACTTGGGGAGCTAGAAATTAAACGAGTAATGTGTGTTCAAGTGGTGTAGATATGTGGAAATTGGAGCAGTAATAGTCTATTGGAGTTGAGCATGTGAGTGCTTGCGTGAGTTCCTGCAGAGGGTACGTACATACACGTGAGGTGGATGAACCGATTTCTCAAGATCTCACTTTGACCAATACCAAGTGAGGGCGTCTGCCTTCCATTTCATTCAGCGCGTTTTACTCTAAGAGCACAAGCACAGAGGATGACAGACAACACGATATGGACCAGTTCCGCCACCTCCTGCTTGTCTTACGGCCTCAATGTAAATATCGAGGGTGATTCAAATCAGTGACGGCAATCGCCAACCGGAAATGGGTTTTAAACAGCCCTCGGTATTGCTGGGATTCTACTTGATGATCGTTTTGTAGATAAAAAAGATGAATGAACGTGCTGGGCAAACAATGTTCGATCGATCAAGCAAGAGCCACTACTTAAAATTAAGGATCTACAAGCGTTTCCGACACCTCAAAGTAGGCAAACACCGAGATTCTCTAGTGAGACTGCTCTGAATCGTATTAGTTCACGCTGTCCTGCACCACACATCTCATTGTTCAACGCCTTGTCCGTTTGCTAGTTCCCCCGAACTCCATCTGTCGCCTCCCTCCTTTGCAAGTCTGAGACATTTCGGTAAACAGCCTTTCATGCACACACACACACACCAAATCCAATTGCGATCTCCACCAGACGGCTGTCTCCCGTCGTCTCGGATATTTTTGTTCTTCTTTTACTAGCTGGGCGGTGTAACGCACCATCCACAGAGTCAATAACGGCATGCCTTTTTGTTTCCCACGCTAGCGTAAAAGTTTGGTCTTTCACATTAAATCACATACAAGGGTAAAGGGGTCAAAATTCTGTGGTCAAAATTTCGCCGTCAGGCCAACCAAATGCTGAAACTGCGTAGATAGGAGAACAGATGCCTACCATCAACAGGTGGAGGGTGCAAGTAAGCGGTCTTTTCACTAATGACCTCCGAGAAGGCACCCTTTCCACTGACATTGACAGCGGCGACGCGGAAGTAGTAGAGCGTTGCCTCAGTTAGCTTGCGCGCCTTGAAGGAGGTCTGCGGCCCCTCAAATACAGTCACCCAACCCCTGGAAAGAAACGGGAGGAGGTTAACAACACCACGAGGTGGCAATCACCAACACCCTCCATGACCACTTGTCTCACTTGGATTCCGGTTTCTTGCTCATCTCCAGGACGTATTTAATGTTGGCAGGAGGAGTCGACGGTCTCGGCTTGGAGGGGCCGTCGTCACTGTCGTCGTGTGCTGAGTCGGGGGAGGAGGCGGACCACCGGAGTTTGATGCTCCCCGCGGTGGAGCCGACACAACACAGAGTTGGAGGAGGCGGAAGCTGTGGGAGGGTGGAGAAGTGAAGGATTCCTGAGAAAGGGCTCACGCCAACGGCGTTCAGAGCTTGCACTCGGACTCTAGAAAGTACAAAGATAGAAAATAACTTGACTAAATTCCTGCATTAGTTCACCTTAGCATCAGCCTTAAGCACTGCGTACCGAAATGCAGTACAACAAGCCAACAGCCTTCAAAACTGAATTCCTATACAGACTGCTGTTGAAAGAGAGTAGAGAAACAAAAGGGTTGAAAGATATGTTGATGACTTGGTCCTGGCATCGGGTCGCAGCAAAATTATCGATCGGACCCGTTGCCATCCCATCTACTCACAGCAGAAACACAGGGGGCACCTTCGTTGTTCGCGCAAACGTGTTAACTGGCATCCACTCTACCAAACATCCACGCAACTCAGTAACACGCATTTGCTAACAGAACCAATACAACCACCCCGGTTTGTTGGAATGACCTTAGTTGTGACTCTCACCACCCCCTTCACCCAACCCGTCGCCGATTTAACCTGCTCAGAGGTCACCACCATCTCACTACCGTCTCCCCTGACTCATCCAACGTCGTGCACAACCTCTCCCACAACGCCTCCACCATCTCATGCCACAGACGCAGTTTCTCTCACTAAACCCCTGCCCCATTCGCCATACTACACACACCACTGCCTACTCATCCAGATTTACTGATTGGAGGAAAAGGCGTCCTCAAGGGGAATTCGACCAATTGAATTATGCTAAACAATGAAATGTAACGAGCATTGGCCATTCACACACTCAACCGCTTCCTTAACAAAAATATTTACCACTTTTGAATAAAAGGGCTCGGAAGGAGTAGCTACCGAAAGTGCGAATGGCAAACGGAAGTGTCAGCAGCCGGATTTACTATGCCTAAACACGAATCTCGTGTTTAGCATTTTCATCTGTGCAGGCATAACTACTGCTTAGTTGTCACAGGCCACCAGGAGTCCCACTGCCAGAAAACCCGGTCTGCCTAACTGAAACTAACAACCTCAAACATGCCACATGCCTCGCAAGACAAACAACTGCAGTAGTGAAAACTCGACTGTAAAAATGTCGAGAATAATTAACGTGAAACCCAAACGGTTTAGGTGGTCTTAATTCCTTGGGAGAATTGAAGGCTAGAACAAAGTTGAGATGAAAATTGAGGGCTCATGGAGTAGTGCAGACTAAAACGAGGTGACGGCCTTTAAGACAACTTGGAAAAATTAGAGCCGTGGACTTTGTCAATGTTTACAGGGCTAATTCACGAGGCAACGCGTAAGCTTATTTGCTGAGGCCACGAATGAGTTGATGACAATCCTGAGGAGCGACGTTGCAGAACCAGCCAACCAGCCGAGTGTTGTGAGTGTGTGATGCCGAACACTACGTCGACTTAACGCTTCATGTCAAAGAATGCTGAGCATAAGTGGATTCAACAGTGAGGCAAAAGTCACAGTATCATCGCGCATTTGACACTGTTTAGAAATGCAAAGATTCCAGATGAGGAATCAGTCGTGCAATGAACGACCGGTGGTGTTTTTTTTGGAAAGATGTTTGCGTAGTACCTTGGAACAGAGAGCGACGAAAGACGCTATCGCAGCATTTCGCATGCCGTACCACTACCAAAGCGTCTGGGATGACAGGCAAACTCTTTTTGGACGTCACGAAGCGACTGTTTTGAAAATAACGGACTCGAGTCAGTGAACATACGTTGTGTAATGTCTGTCTGCGGTATTGAGCTCTTGCCTGTGGGGTAGCATGTACAATCAGTTTCGCTGAAACGACTATGAAAATCGCTTGGGACAGTTGAAGTCCGGGCCGCGATTTGGGTGAAAAGAAATTGAATGCTTTTATCATCTGAAAGTGATTTGTAAACCTGTGGTTGGGATTTTCCAGCTTAAATGCGTAATGCTGGAGGTCATTGATCAGGAAATTAAACACGACATTGCGGGATGGAGCTCACAGACGTAGCTATGGGAGCGACAGGAGATTTAATTGATGAATGACACCAACGCACAATTCCTAGCGCTAGCCAATGTCCAAATCTATTTCTAGTTTCAGGCGAGAGTACTATAGGCGTCGATGGGAAGCCGCCTCATGACAAATTAAGATAAGCGTGCACTCAGTAGTTGGTAATAGAGGTTCTAGCACGGACACACCTGTATTTCGCTCCAATGTCCAGCCCAGTGAGTTTATATCGGACGTACTCCACGGCCCTTCCGCCACCAGGAGCAAGATGCCGTGCCTTCAGACTTGAGGGTCTGGAGAGGGCATGGTGATGCCGTGGTCGACCGCTCTCTGACGAGACATTTGAAGACGGTGCGGAGCCTGGTTCGACGCCAACAGAAGGAATGGGGGAGAGCGAGGAAGAAGACGAGGAGAGGAGGCTCGGAGACCCGGAAATGCACAGGACGTTACGAAGGTCACAACCACCGACGTCGCCACCATCGGCCTTACATTCATCTTCCAAAGACAGCGGTTCCGGAGAGACTGGAATAAGATCCCCTCCGTCTACGCACAGCGGAAACTGTTTGGTGCCTGAATTACCCGAGACGGTGGTGAGGGAAGCCTGTGAAATGTGGCCGTTATAGCGCGTTAGCTCAAGGTTGTAGCCTAAAATACGGTAAAAGAAGACGTGTGTGAATGTTCGTTTGTATATGTACTAAAATGACTAAAATACAAACGACGTTTAAAGTGTTATAAGTGACGGAGGCAGCTTCGTTTGCGGGTAAATTTTGACTAATTGCGATTGAAGAACACTTTCTGGTGAACAGTCCGATCACACCGAGTTTCGCAGTAGATGCTAGCCTAACACCTAGGTGGCCGCTTCATTCGGCATGACACGGCTTTGTACAACTCAAAGCGGCGCAATTACCAAGTAAACAGATATTGCAATGCATTTGCACAAAAAACAGGCAATTAATTCTGTCAGGAGGAAAAAACGAGTGCCGCCGGTTACTCTGGACATGCACTTTGATCAGTAATCGTGTTGTCAAATCGGAGGCATCCTGTGCCATTTGGGCTACCAAGATTCGCGGTAACTCTACTGCGATGAAACAAGGCTAATAGCTAAGATCGAAGACGTAGACTCAAAGGTAACATTTACTCAGCGTTTTAAAGGGGCCTCACGACGTAACAACAAGTGTAAATACGTTTGCTTTTCTTGAAATTAGGTCATGTTTACGTGTCAAAATCCAAGTCTTCTGAATGTACTTTTTACCTGCTAAAAACAAATCTACATTTGACTGACAAAAGTTACGAAAAAATGTCAATCATGGAAAGCAACGACATCGTCTGGCAAAAATTGACAACTTGGTTTGACAATAAATTGGCAAACGACTGCAGAAAAGCCCACAAAAGTCGCCGAAAACCCAACCGAAGTAGCACAACTTCGAGGCTACGAGTTGACGCGAGAAAGCAGTGTAGCAGGCAATTCAGCTACCGTTTTATATCATTAGTACAATGCTTACCTTAGCGTTTACAAAAACAGAAGAAAAAAAAGCACAATGAACTGATTTTTAAGCTGTTGACGTTGGGTTTCAGAACAGCCAAAACAAGTCAGAAGAAAATACTTGTGAACTGTGATTTCACCATGAAAATAAAATCCTACGAGCAAGCGGGAGATACGTAGAATCGGACTTGATCGACACAATTATAGGCTCGAACTGCAGTGGTTTTCAACGCCAGAGACATTAATCAAATTGCCGCCACACGAGAGAGCTTTTAAGAGCTACATACTGTAGAAAGAAAGGATCAATAGGAGCAAAAACAATGCATCACAAATTAGTACTGAAACGAAAACAAAATAAGGAGTACTTGTAATGGGACAGCCGTTGTCAACGGGGACGATCCAGACGAGGCGCGCAGTTGTCATGGAGACCCCGCCGACGCACGTCTCCGCTTCGCCTGTGGGGCTGACGGCGCTGCGGTCTAAGGCGAGACCGGAGGGTTGGCCGGGTCGGGAGGCCGGCATAACGCAGCCCCCCAGGGGACTCCACTTGCCCGCTCCGGCGGAGTTTACAGCGCACACCCGAAAGGCTATCCTCGAGGCTGGTTGGAGGTCATGCAACTCAAAGTGGCATTCGCCGCCGGAGTAAACCAGTTGGAACCCGTCATTCGGGCACGTTGGCGGGCAGGTTGACGACGAAGAAGCGGAAATTTTTGATCCGTTCACTGAGTTCTCAGTGGGTGAGAGCACTAGGTCCACCTGATCACGTTCTGGCGGCGTACACGTTTCCGATGGTTCGACCACATTCGGTTGCCATTCCACCCTGTACTCGGTAATCTCTGCACCGTTCGTCTGCTCCACTCGCTCCCAGCTGACTGCCACGCTAGTCGCGGACGTCGGCTTCACCCTCGGGGGCCCGCTTGGTTCCCCGGGGGGAGACGGCGCTGTCGAGAATGTGCACCACTCTGACCAGTCCGACCAGCCCGTCGAATTCCTAGCCCTAACTCGGAAGGCAAATGACTGCCCTGAATGCAGCCCAGAGATTTCGCAACTATTTTCCCCACCTGAGAACACCAAACGCGAGTTCGGCGCCTTGCCAGACTGGTGAAGCGGACTTGAAGACACGGAACTTGGAGCCGAGAGCGCGGGAGGTGAAGAATGCTGGGCCAGAGCACTGTGAAGATCTTGCATACTCTCGGATGACACAGTAACCATTGGCGAAGCATTTTTGGGAGAAGGCAATTTAATCGGGCTGCCTGAGATGGGGTCGCATAGTGATTGCCAGACTTCATAAGAGAGAATCGGGGCTCCCCCGTTTGACGTTGGCGGATCCCATGTTAGCCGGATGCCCGTAGGTTTCGGGCGACCAAACAGACGGAGGTTCGATGGTGGGTTTATCGGTGGCACCGCTGGAGTAGTGACTTTAAGCAATGATTCTGAGGCGCAACCCCAGAAGACTGGGTTGGAGGAGTTCTTGCGACTTGCATTCTGGCCAGGTGCATTTGTCCGGCACGAAGTTGCACGAACACGGAACTGGAAGGTCTGACCCGGCGTTAGGTTGCACACCGACACTTCCTTTGTTCGACCCTCGTAGATGGAATACCAGGCGCACTTTGGCTCGCCGTCCTCGTTATCGGAGCTCTCAGAAACGTAGGGCGAAGACAGAGTGGCGGACTCTTCGGTGGAAGCCCAGATGGGATCGTTGGAAGAAGGGACGCGGAATGGAGCCTGAGGTGCATCGTTCACCTTGCCGGCAGAGTAGAGACTGGTCGATGGTGGTTGAAGTACGTGGATCGACGGCGGAACACACGTGAAGGCGTTGTTATCCGATGTTGCTGCAAGCAGAAAAGGGATTTCAATTAAGTCAACCTTGCCGAAAGTGCACTTCATTTATAGAAAATTGGTAAGCGGTTGACTCACAAAGTACCTTATTGGGTTTATTACCGTATTAACTCTTTTTATCAAGAACTCATCAAATTCACCGTGACCTTTCTCAATTGGGCGTCAACCAAGAGCCAGTAACACAAGAAATTGGGCTTAAATGGCTGCAAAGTGACGCGCAGACCTTTCTTCCACCGAAGCCTCTGTTTCTATTGTGCACCTCCACGTAACCCGCACCACATACTTTATCAACTCTTCCGTTTAAATGCTAAATGAGAGAGTCACGTAGTGGGAACCATGAGAAAGAGATAGGGGAAGCGGTTGTTGTGCCACAGGATGGAGAATTTATGAGAGGTTGTGCACACCGTTGGGTGAGTCAGGGGAGGACGTGGTAGTGAGAGCCCGGTGACCTCAAAGCCAGTCAAATCGGCGACGGGGTGAGTGAGGAAGGGGGTGAGAATCACAGCTAAGGTCACTTGAAAAAATCAAAGCCGTGCCGATGCCAGCGTCTCATGGTAGACCGCTCTACAGGCAAATGCATGCCAGTTAGCTGCGTGGACAACCACGACTCCCGCTGTTTCTTTAATGAGTAGGTGAAATGGCAATGTGGTTGGTCGACAACGTTGTTTTAGCGTAATGGCACGAGAAGCATGTGTTGACCCGAGTCATCAAAATGAAGTGGTCAAGAAAGACAACATCCAGATGCTCTAGAGCGCAACACCAGGCATTTCGCCGTGTGCCTGTGGAACTATGGTCATTTAACCTTAAGCTTGACAGTAAAACAAGAGAGTAAAGAACATAAGTCAGTGGACTTGCGGTCTGGCCATCGCCAACCACGCCACCACAAAGAAAATAGGTGGAGGTAACTGTTGAGAATAGGTAGATACAAGGGAAGAAGCATTAAGGAGCGCGCGATTGAAAATGATTTAGCCGCAGAAGAAATTAGCGACGTGGAGGAGTCCAAGTAAACGGGAAAAAAGCCATCAGCGACGTGGAGGAAATCTCGAAACTGCATCTTTCGTTTCACATTACTTATTGCCTCAAAAAAGATCAACCTCGAAAACGCAACAAACCGATAGAAGTCAGATCAGGTGTTTGAGAGATTGAGGAAAAGGTACTCCCAACGTCAGGTGGCTAAAGGTATTTGCAAAGTGCGCTCCTCCCGAAAAAGATGATTGGCCAAAAAATTGTCACAAGGCCAGGAGCTAGCTGAGAGAACATCTTGCAGTGTATGACAAATGTGCGTGGCTCACTAGCACAGTGCTCTATTTACAATGCATCCTGCGAGCTACATGGCGTGGTTGAGAATGATTACATTGTTAAATGCTGGATGATTTTTGGTTTACAGAAATACAAGCATTCTGACATCAGAGTGAGAGAGGTGCAGTGATTTACACGGGGAATTTTAAAAACCTGAAAAGTGATCAGATGATGATGATGATAGCAATCAGCTTCAGGACCTATTCGGCTTAGTAATTGAGTACTATATCGGGATTCTTACCCCTAAACAAAACCAAACTCCAATACAGGATGGTGTACAATGCAGACCGTAGTTCGGTATATGCAAATATCGGTTAATGTTGGCAGTCGACGTACCAATGACCCACGGCCAACAAATGGGGCTCATCGTTTCGACAACTTTGAAATCATCGGGGACAGCAGTGGCCTGGGTGAGGTGGGTGTTCTTCTTGTGCGGTTGCGTCGAGTACTTGCGTAGAAGAGGAGAAGGAAGGCGAGGCATGAAGACTTCCAACCGATAAGCGCTCACCGGAAGACCACCGTCGTCCTCTGGGCTCAGCCAGCAAACGTTTATGTTGTAAGGGCGAACACGACCTCGTAACTAAAATACAGGTTAAAGTGAGTGGACTAGGTGGATCAGAACATGGCATTAGAGCGACTGCAACACGGTGAGATTAAGTCAGCTCCATTAATGACCTTAAATGTGAGATTAGGACGGGGGAAAGTGCTTCTTCCCGACCTCTACGCTAAATGATTCCTCCCTCGACTTCCAACCGCCAGATGACGTACGTTAATTTTGAACCTGAGTAAACACAGATGGGAGGGTGGGGATTGGGTAATGAGGGGCTTCGTGGAACTTACTCGAAGGCCTTTTGGTGCAGTGGGAACATCTGGAGTTGTTCGAAAGGCCACGATCTCGCTCCAGTGACTCATGCCATCCACATTGGTAGCAGCCAGTCGAAACCGGTAGAGAGAACACCGCCGAAGTCCCTCGACGATGAACTGCGTGGCGTCATCGTCGAAGACCTTCTTGAAGTGCTGACGGGCCTCGCCCTCCTGCATCTCCAACATGTAGCGCAGGATCGGTTTCGAGGGAGCGGAAGAGGTCTTTGAGGCATTCTCCGAACCTCCGGACTGGGGTCCCCACGTTAGATGGAGACTTCGAGCGGTGGCCTTTAATAGGCGAGGAGGTTCGGGCGAAGAAGGGGGCAGGCCGTAGGTCATGACTGACACCACGTCACTCCAGGGACTTCAAAGGGAGAAGAGTAAAACAGGGAATCAGTAGGACAAAACGTCATTTTCCAAGAAAAATACAAAATCCCGTAATTTGTTTACAGCACTTGTCGTTACAACAAGCGATTATTTTGTTTGCTTCTCGTGAGTGGTAAGCTTGAAGATCCAGTGGACACCGTTTTAACTGCAAGCAACATCGAGCCATACGTGGCTGCTTGATCGTTTCCTGAAATCCGTAGCATGAAGTCCCTAATTCAAAATAACTCGACCTACGGACCTATCCAGAAAACCAAACTTATGGTGTCCCATAAATGTTAAACTATATTCAATAGGGCAAATTCCATATCAGCACGGGTTGGAATGATAATTATCGCACTACTTCAATGCCATAAGCGTACCTTTGGCCATGCGCGTTGGTCGCCGAGACACGAAGCATGTAGGTGGTTGCTGGGAGCAGATGCGACAGCTTGTGGAATCGTTGGGAGCCCGCGTAGCAGACTTGGAACGATGGTGTTCCCTGCAGCAGCAACAAAAAAAATTGCGTGTATCGCAATTCACAAAAGTTGGCACGTGGAATAAATTATCGAGATCAAACAGTTTGTGCTGTGTCCAGGCAGAGCTCTTTGTACTTGTGTACTTATGCGTTGACAAAGCAGTAAACGGGATGAAAAGCATTAGATAAGACGAAATAACTCAACCAAAACACAAGATAGGGGGCTTTGTTGACGCGAATCTTGATACGAAATGCTAACACAGGAACGAGGAAATTATAAGAACACCGGTGATAATTCGAATTCACTAACAAGGCTGACTGAGTGTTGTCGAAACGGCCTGACAATTACACACATATGCAGATTTGCAAAACCAAATGCCGGCCACAAATTCACTACGATTCGGACAATCTGAAGGAGTAGACTGTGGTCAAAATCGAACGGAAACCTAATTTCTCAATCAGCAGTGACCAACCGTGAGCATGGGAAAATTGCACATCTTTTGCGTCCACATAAGCCTCTTCCCCCAATCCCAATGAAGTCCTGAGGTTCAGCATTGCCATGAAGGCCAGAAAACGAAAGCCACAAATTTTTCTTCTAATGTTTTTCCCCTCTTTCAATGTCCAATTAGTGCAGCGAACAGCTGTTTCACAGAAGTCGAATTAGTTTTCGCCAGTTTTCCAAGACGCTAAAACTTCTTTTCGGACGCCTATCACTAACACCGAAACGGAAAAACACGAAATTTTGTGTGGATACAAAAAAAAACCAAAAATGTGGGGGAATTGGAAATGATCTTGTTGATACAGAAATTACGTAGGCAGTTGCCAATGGACGGGGTCAATTGATCCGCACTAACGGCAGAGCCAATCGTCACTAAGTTTGTCGACTACGCATGTAGATATAGGCTATGGGCAGGATTCGCAGCCAGAAGCTTATAGGAATTTTAATATGGAAATTTCAAAATGGCTGCAGAATGTTCCAATTTAAGGATATTTGTGGGTTAAAAAAGGGGCACTGCTCGCAAAGAATAACTCTGAACGCCTGGCTGGTTTGCTGAATTAAAGGTGCAAATAAAATCAACTAGTACACACGAAGGGACAATTAAAAAGGCTATAATTCTCGCATTCCAAGCAGCCAAGAATCGTCGGATAGGATTTTTAGAGCGGGAAAAGGTAAAACCACATCCTGGAGCCTGTCGAAGAACCGCTAATTAAAGGAACAAACGAGTAATCTATGGTGGCCTGAGGATTCTTGGAACGGCGCAGTGGGCCCCTACGGAACCAATACAGTTGTGCTCAACCCAAATCCAGGCAGGCTAAGTATCAGCTCCAGAAACGGACTTCAGAAATAAGAACTTGGACACGAGGCCGGGCATCGTTGATTTCAAATGGAAAATCCAGGCACAACCTTCGCTTCAAATACGGGAATCCAACCTACACATCAGTTGCTTGAGCCATCACGTTTCTTGCTGTTAAGTGCCTTCACAAATCTGCGCGGATGTCGGTTTAACAACTACGCTCGTGCATAATGAATAGGCCACTAACCACACACCTGAAGAATACCAAAGTCGTTTGTTTAACGACTTACCTCCTCCCAATGGTACACGGTCGCTTAAGGCAATCAAAAACAAATAAGCAATTCTACGTTCCAAAAACGATGCGGTTCAAAGGTGATTCATGATCGTGGACACAAACAGAATGGCCCTTGCATGCAGGTTTCTACAGCACCGCCATTTTTTAAATGGTCTCAAGTTGAAGCACGTGAATAGGGCAAAACGGCAGGTAAGTAATCGATATTCCTCATTAACCAGTTACCCAAACCGTTTTTTGATTCAGGTAATGAACATCGATAAGTTTGGCGATCGAATCAAAATATGATGCCATCTGGTGCCAACAGAACACCACACATATCATTGTTTGATATTTACAACAAGAAAATGTAGAAATAGTCTCCAAAAACTAGATCCGTTCCATGTTTTTGACAATGCACGAAAATCATGCAAACGGTAATAGAAAAAAAGCACGAGTTAGGACAGTGGAAGGGCTGAGACGACAATCAAAAGATTAAGGAGGGTGCACCAGTTGCCCATTACCGCCAAACCTATATAATTCAGCAAAACGGCGAAACGCTCGGCGATGTGCATTAAAGTGTGACGAGAGTGGGTGTGTGCAGAAGGCAGGGGGCTTCAGAGGGCATTAAAAGCGCAACATCAAAGATGCCTTATTTATGGCAAAATGTTAGCGGTGTATTCAAGAAAACGTCAGCAACAAAAGTTTCTTTTAAGTACAATGATTAATTTTGAATTGGGCAAACGGCGCGATGCGCAGTAAAGAGGACGAATGTGCTGCACACTAAAACGCACGTTTCGAGGCAAGCGTTTGCCCTGCAACCTCACCGCCACTCCATCTATTTACCGTAGAGACACAAGGGCGCCTTGGTTGTTCGCGCAAACGTGTTAACTGGCATCCACTCTACCAAACATCCACGCAACTCAGTGATGCGCATTTGCTAACAGAACCAATACAACCACCCCGGTTTGTTGGAATGGCCTTAGTTGC